CAGCTGTTCCAGCCCACCATCGCCCTGCTCCGAGGGGGGCATGTGGTGGCCCCCGTCCTCAGCCAGTTCCTGCACAACGGCTTCCTGCGGCCTTCCTTGCAGGCGTCAACCCTGCGGTGAGCCCCACATGGTGGCCCTGGGCTCCTGGGTTCAAGGCTACATCCTGTCTGGGCCCAGTCCACACCCCAGCTCTGCCTCAGTCCCTCCTACACTGGAGGATTGACCCTTGGGGTGCTGGGGACCTTAAGGCCCAGACAGAGAGCACTTTCCTGTTTCAGTTTATGGTCTTCCGGTCCCCTGTGGCACAGCCTAACTCGGGTGAGGCTGGGGGGAGTTTGTCGCCCAAGTACTAGGACTCCACGGTGTGGATTTGGGCTCTGCCACCAGCCCTGGCCCCGGCCTCCTCCTCCCTCTCTCTGGCATGGCAGGAGGGCTTCAACTGCCATTGTCACCCGCCCCACCCAGCCCACTGGCAGCCCCTCCCAGGAGTGAGGAGATGACAGGCCCTAGGTGGACCCAGGCCCCACTGGGAAATCTGCCCTCCCTGGACCAGGGCCATGAGCGGGGTGGGTGGTGTCAGTCCCACCGCCTCCTAGGGAATCTGTCCCCCGGTGTCCACCCTAGCGCCTCGGGACCCTGGGTCAGGGCACCCTCACTGTAGGGTCCTGAGGACTCCACCCACGAGAGCCCCGAAAGAGTGTGGCTGCCTCTAGGACCTGCCCCCACCCTGAGGCTCCCCCCATCCCCCAGCCAGCTCTTCTTCAACGGGACAGAACCCCTGAGGCCTCAGGACCCACTCCCATGGCCTGCGCTGGCCACCACCCTGGAGACCGTGGCCACAGAGGGTGCGGAGGTCTTCTACACGGGGAGGCTGGGCCAGATGCTGGTGGAGGACATTGCCAAGGAAGGTCAGCCTCCTTGAGATCCCATGCCCGTCCCTGCTGGAGGAAGAGCCAAGTTCTGGGCACTGGGGGTTGAGGGCAGGCTCCTTCCCAGGCCCTGAGGGAGTGCTGGAGGTGCCTGGGACCCCGAGAGGTCGTGCACCTAGCTCTGCCAGCCCAAGGACCCCTGTGGTCCAGGACCTCAGAGAGCAGAGCCTGCGGGTTAGAGCCAGCAGAGGGGCGTTACTGATGGTCACAACAGGCCTGGGTAGCTGAGCTGACCGTTCTCACAGGCTCTCAAAGGCCAGCTCCCTCTCCCATCTTCCCCTTCACCTCCCCAGCCTCCCTGCCTCTGGTCTCTGTCCACCCCTCCATGCTTGACCCCAAGGGGCCGGTCCTGAGGCCACCGCCTACAGACCAACCATCACCCTCTGTGTCCACAAGGCTAGAGCACAAGTGGGATCCCATTGTGTGACCTGACACCAGTGGCTATTCCTCCCTGCCTCAGTTTCCCCATCTGTTCATGGAGCCCTCTCCGTCTCACCCCAGGGAGCCAGCTGACGCTGCAGGACCTGGCCAAGTTCCAGCCCGAGGTAGTGGACGCCCTGGAGGTGCCCCTGGGGGACTATACCCTGTACTCACCACCGCCACCTGCAGGGGGTGCCATTCTCAGCTTCATCCTCAATGTGCTAAGAGGTAAAGCCCCTGCCCAGAGCTCTGGCCCTCCACACCCGGGAACTCAGACTCCAAGCCCAGCCAAGGCCCAGCTCAGCCTCCTCCTCCATAAACCGGGTTCACAGATGCACAATGTGAAGACCGAGCTGTGTAAACCAGTCATGATGGTGGGTTTTAGAGCTGACCTCCAGCTCCACCCATACGTGAGGCTTTGCTGAAGGGTGTGACATCGTTTGTCCAGAGTCCTCCTCCCACTAGGTGACCCGTCCCAGACTCAGAAGCAGGTGGGCTGTGTGGGTGGTGGGCTGCCCATCACGGACATGCACCTGGGGGAGCGAAACCAGCCCAGCCCAAGGCAGCCTGCAGGGGGTTCTGGCAGTGCCAAGGCCTGGGGCTGTCTGCGCTGGCTTAATATTAGTGTCCTGTGTCTGCCATTACAAATCACCACAAGCTTGGTGGCTTAAAATAACAGCAATGTGTCCTCTCACAGTTCTGGAAGCCAGAAGCCCGATATCTAGGTGTCCACAGGGCTGCATTCCCTTGGGGGCTCCAGGGGAGAGTCTGTTCTTTGCCTTGTTGACCTAAATAAAAAACAGAACAAGGCTGTTGTTTCTTTGAACAACATTCAGAGAAAATGATGTTTATTCCAGAGTAGGCATCGCGGTGGGAATACCCACGCTACGGTAAACTGTGTGTGTGTCCAGGGAGGTGAAGGAAGACAAAGGTTCTCAAAAAGAAAATGAGGAAGAGTATATAATTTTTTTGCTTATAATCAATGATAATTTATTGTATATTTTATTTTTTTCATTGCATTGTTATTATTATTGAGATGGTGTCTTGCTCTGTCACTTAGGCTAGAGCACAGTGGCACAATCTCGGTTCACTGCAAGCTCTACTTCCTGGGTTCAAGCAGTTCTCCTGACTCAGCCTCCCAAGTAGCTGGGATTACAGGCATGGGCCACCACATGCCGCTGATTTTTATCTTTTTTTTTTTCCTTTTTTTGAGACAGAGTCTTGATCTGTCACCCAGAAAGAGTGCAATGGCATGATCTCAGCTCATTGCAACCTCTGCCTCTCAGGTACAAGCGATTCTCCTGCCTCAGTCTCCCAAGTAGCTGGGATTACAGGTGCCTGCCATCATACCTGGTTAATTTTTGTATTTTTGGTAGAGATAAGTTTGCCATGTTGATCAGGCTGGTCTTGAACTCCTGATGTCAGGTGATCTGCCCACCTCGGCCTCCCAAAGTGCTAGGATTACAGGCTTGAGCCACCATGCCCAGATGATTTTTTTCTTTTTAGTAGAGACGGGGTTTCACCATGTTGGCCTGGCTGGTCTTGAACTCTTGACTTTAACTGACCCACTTGCCTTAGCCTCCCAAAGTGCTGGGATTTCAGACGTGAGCCACCTCTGCCTGGCTATTTTATTTTTATTTCATTAGTTTTGGGGGAACACGTGGTGTTCGGCTGCATGGAAAAGTTATTTAGTGGATGACTTCTTTTTTTGAGATGGAATCTCACTTTGTGGCCCAGGCTGGACAGCAGTGGCATGATCTTAGCTCACTGCAACCTCTGCCCCCCAGATTCAAGCAATTCTCCAGTCTCAGCCTTTTTTAGTAGAAATGGGGTTTCACCATGTTGGCCAGGCTTGTCTCGAACTCCTGACTTCAAGTGATCTGCCTGCCTCAGCCTCCCAAAGTGCTGGGATTACAGGCATGAGCCACTGCACCTGTCCTTTAGTGGTGATTTCTGAGACTTTGGTGCACCCATTACCCAAGCAGTACACACTGTACCTAGTGTGTAGTCTTTTATCCCTCATCTGCCTCCCACCCTTCCCCTTGAGTTTCCACGGTCCATTATAGCATTATCCCCCCGAGACAGAGTCTCGCTCTGTCACCAAAGCTGGGGTGCAATGGTGCATCTCGGTTCACTACAACCTCCGCCACCTGAATTCAAGCGATTTTCCTGCCTCAGCCTCCCAAGTAGCGCCTGCCACCACATCTATTTTTTTTTTTTTTGTATTATTAGTAAAGATGGGGTTTCACCATGTTGGCCAGGCTGGTCTTGAACTCCTGACCTCAGGTGATCCGCCTGCCTTGTCCTCCCAAAGTGCTGGGATTATAGGTGTGAGCCACCATGCTGGGCCCCATTATATCATTCCGTTTTTTTGGAGATGGAGTTTCACTCTTGTCACCCAGGCTGGAGTGCAACGGTGAGCTCTCAGCTCACTGCAACCTCCACCTCCCGGTTCAAGCGATTCTCCTGCCTCAGCATCCCTAGTAGCTAGGACTACCCGTGTGTGCCACCATGCCCAGCTAATTTTTATATTATTAGTAGAGACAGGGTTTCATCATGTTAGCCAGACTGGTCTCGAACTCCAGAACTCAGGTGATTCACCCACCTTGGCCTCCCAAAGTGCTAGGATTATAGGCATAAACTACTGCGCCTGGCCCAGTATATTGTTTTTACTCCTTTGCGTCCTCATAGCTTAGCTTTGGTATATAAAGCTAAGCTTAGCTTTGCGTCCTCATAGCTTAGCTTTGGTATATAACTGTTTTGGGCTTGGCTTGGTAGCTCATGCCTGTAATCCCAGTGCTTTGGGAGGCCAAGGCGGGCAGATCACAAGGTCAGGAGATTGAGACCATCCTGGCTAGCACAGTGAAACCCTGTCTCTACTAAAAATACAAAAAATTCGCCAGGCATGGTGGTGGGCGCCTGTAGTACCAGCTGCTTGGGAGGCTGAGGCAGGAGAATGGTGTGAACCCAGGAGATGGAGCTTGCAGTGAGCCGAGATCATGCCACTGCTCTCCAGCCTGGGGGACAGAGTGAGATCCATCTCAAACAAACAAAGAAACAAAGAAAAAAACCACTTTGAAATGATCATCTTTGGTTACTGGGATGCATGGAAAAGTGATAAAGGTGGCACTAGTCTGAGGCTGGACAGGCCACTCCTGGGCAGATGTCTTTGCAGAAGTATTTTTTGTGTAAGGTTGTGATGGCCTTTGTGTAAGGTTGTGAGTTGTTTATTTTTTGAGGCAGGGTCTTGCTCTGTCACCTGGGCTGGAGTGCAGTGGCACTGTCAAGGCTCCCTGCAGCCTCAACCTCACCTCAATCCTGTCACCTCAGCCTTCCAAAGTGCTGGGATTACAGGTGTGAACCACTACATGTGGCTGCAGCTCTATTTTGACAATTTTCACCACCTCTTACCACTTCCAGTGGCTGCCAGCGTTCCTTGGCTTGTGGCTGCCTCACTCCAGTCTCTGTCTCCATGGTCACACTGGTTTCTCCTCTGCTCTGTGTGTCCTCTCCTCTGTGTGTCTGTCTTACAAGTACACTGTGATCACATTCAGGGCACATCTAGATAACCCAGGATCATCTCCTCCTCTCAAAATGTTTTACATACTTTAGGCTGGGTGCCGTGGCTCATGCCTGTAATCCCAGCACTTTGGGAGGCTAAGGCGGGTGGATCACTTGAGGTCAGGAGTTGGAGACCAGCCTGGCTAACACAGTGAAGCCCCATCTCTACTAAAAATACAAAAATTAGCCAGGCATGGTGGTGTGCGCCTGCAGTCCTAGCTACTCAGAAGGCTGAGGCGAAAGAATCACTTGAACCCAGGAGGTGGAGATTGCAGTAAGCTGAGATCGCGCCACACACTCCAGCCTGGGCGACAGAGGAAGACTCCTCCAAAAAACACAAAAAAGGCGGGGCATGATGGCTCATGCCTGTAATCCCAGCACTTTGGGAGGCCAAGGCAGACAGATCACTTGAGGCCAGGAGTTTGAGACCAGCCTGAACAACATGGCGAAACCCTGTTTCTACTAAAAATACAAAAAAAGAAAAAATTAGCTGGGCGTGGTGGCGAACGCACGTAGTATCAGCTACTCAGGAGACTGAGGCACAAGAATCCCCTGAACCTGGGAGATGGAGGTTGCAGTGAGCTGAGACTGCACCATTGCACTCCAGCCTGGGCGACAGAGTGAGACTCTGTCTCAAAAAAAATCGTTAACATACTTTTCCACTTAAGGTATTAGTCACTCTTGTGCTGTGTAAGTGGTATCCACAGGTTTTGGGAATTAGGATGTGGGTGGAGCTCTCTGGGGAGGGGGGCAACATTCAA